AACCGCCTTCGGATTGATTAAATCATCAAGATTTTAGAAAAGCCCATCTTAGAAAAAGTTTAATACTCTTAATACAGACTGGCGGATAAGCTTAAAGGAACATGGTACACTTTTTATAATGTTTATCTCTGTTAGCAGCCAGATAAACCTTGAAGGAAATTCATCTTCAGGTCTGTAATATTTTCATATATCCCAGATTTTTATTATCTTTTGGAAATATTTACATAAGACATTGATCACATCAGTACCTACTGTTTCACGTCGCAGTTAACGAGAGTTGTATAACTGACTGACTGAGTTTGGTTTTATGCCGCTTTTAGCAATATTGCAGCAACATCACGGCGGGGGACACAGAAATGGACTTCACACATTGTGCCCATGTGGGGATTCGAACCCGGGTCTTCGGCCTGACGAGCCAACGCTTTAACCATTAGGCTACCCCACTGCCCAGAGTTGTATAAGGGGTGGTGAGGTAGCCTTGTGGTTACAGCGTTTGCTCGTCATGCTGAAGCCCGGGTTTGTTTCCCCACATGGGTACAATGTGTGAAGCCAAAATTCTAGTGTCCACCATCAAATATTGCTGAAAGTGGCGTAAACTCTACTACTCACTCTTGTCCTAGTTATGAGCGTTGTATGGGATGGTTAAGTGTGTAGCCATGTGCTTAAAGTGTTCGCTTGTCACGTCATGTGCTTCTTTTCCCATATGTGAAACCCATTCTAGTCGTTCTCACTAGAGATGAAGTAGAATAAACAATTTCATATTATTCATAGTATTCATATTATTCATAGTACTTTCATGTCTAACAGAGCTTTTTTTTATCTGGAATATTATATATTAGAATAGCTATCACCATGCAAAACACAACATTTAAGGTTCTGTAAGGCAATATGGAAACATCTTTTTGTAAACAGAATATATACTTGTCAAATGATTTGTGACCTGCGTTTTAACTTTAACTTTTGTCAGGTCCACAGATAAGGTTATTATGCTGTTTACTTGTCACATAACATGTCTATCTTGTCAAGTTACCTGTTATTTTCACGATTGCCGACATTGTTCAGTAATGAGATGATTATTATGCTGTTAAATTGTCAAATGATGTGTCTTTCTCATCGAGTCACCTGTTATTTTCGCAAGTGCCAAGTTTGTCGGGTCATGAGATGATTATTATGCTATTAAATTGTCAAATAAATTAAGATTACAAAATGCTTGGGTGTTGAATATGGAAGAGATTCCAACTATGTCAGGTCATAAGATAAGATAATTATACTTTTTTATTGTCAGTAATATGTTCATCTTATCATTTTTTTCATGGGTGCCAATTTTGTCTGATGGTGACTGAAGGCAAGCATGACATATGACAGGAAGAGATACATTTGCAATATGTAAAATGAGTGAGTGAGTGAGTTTGGTTTTACACTGCTTTTAGCAATATTCTAGCAATATCATGGCGGGGGACACCAGAAAGGGCCTCACACATTGTACTCATTTGTGGAATAGAACCCGTGTCTTCGGTGTGATGAGCGAACGCTTAAACCAATAGGTTACCCCACCGCCCCCATATGTCACATGAAGATTACAGGTTGGAATTGATCTCTGATGCCTTAGTTGATGCCTGTCATATACCAGTGATTAATGTGAATGATTAATGCACTCAGCAATATTCCAGCTATATGGCGGCAGTAATGGAATGATGTCTGTCACTGGATGTTTATTACCTGGAATGGTGCTTGATTAGGGAGGAAACAACAAATTTCGGTTATTTGCGTATTTTCATTTGTATTTTGTGATTTTTCTCACAAAAGTATGGTGTCATGGAGGCTGATTGGAAACAGTGCCAGTGTTTGTCATTTGGTTATAAGTTATTCGATTCTATGAGTACATGATCCTTATCTTCTAATACTATCATTCTTTTTATTCAATGAGTTTGATAGTTTTCTTGCGTGTGGGAAGAAATATTAATTATCTGGAGACCTGTAGACTTGTGAGAGATGTTTTTTTCTCTATTTGTGGCTATTTTGCCTTTGTCGTAAGTAACTAGAGAAGCCATCCATTTTCCCATTATTTCCGTGTAAGTTCACTGATCACATCGGTCAGGATGTAAATGGATGGTGCTTTACCATTTCTCTATACAGGGTTTTAGACACTGATGCAGCTCACACAAAACACCACTCACTCACTCCTGACAAAGACAAGCTTTAATAAAGATCTGAGCACAGAGCAATTAGTACATTATTCATCTAATTTAGAGACGCTCCCCTTGTAATTTCCTTTGCAATGTTCCAAGGAATATCAAAGGAATGAACTGAATGAGGTATTTAGGAGCTTTTGATTACATCTGTAGGTATTAAATATATTTCATTGATGATTGTATATGAACAAGGCATAGGGTTAAGGTACTAGACAGTGTGGTAAATCTTGATTTTATATTGTAACATGGATGAAAGTCCTGTCTTATGTTGTAGCCAGGATGAAGTGGTCTTATGTTGTAGCCTGGATGAAGTGGTCTTATGTTGTAGCCTGGATGAAGGTCTGGTCTTATGTTGTAGCATGGATGAAGGTCTGGTCTTATGTTGTAGCCTGGATGAAGGTCTGGTCTTATGTTGTAGCATGGATGAAGGTTTGGTCTTATGTTGTAGCCTGGATGAAGGTCTGGTCTTATGTTGTAGCCTGGATGAAGGTCTGGTCTTATGTTGTAGCCTGGATGAAGGTCTGGTCTTATGTTGTAGCCTGGATGAAGTGGTCTTATGTTGTAGCCTGGATGAAGTGGTCTTATGTTGTAGCCTGGATGAAGGTCTGGTCTTATGTTGTAGCCTGGATGAAGGTCTGGTCTTATGTTGTAGCCTGGACGAAGTGGTCTTATGTTGTAGCCTGGATGAAGGTCAGGTCTTATGTTGTAACATGGATGAAAGTCCTGTCTTATGTTGTAGCCAGGATGAAGTGGTCTTATGTTGTAGCCTGGATGAAGTGGTCTTATGTTGTAGCCTGGATGAAGGTCTGGTCTTATGTTGTAGCCTGCATGAAGGTCTGGTCTTACGTTGTAGCCTGGATGAAGGTCTGGTCTTATGTTGTAGCCTGGATGAAGGTCTGGTCTTATGTTGTAGCCTGGCTGAAGTGGTCTTATGTTGTAGCCTGGATGAAGGTTTGGTCTTATGTTGTAGCCTGGATGAAGGTCTGGTCTTATGTTGTAGCCTATATGAAGGACTGGTCTTATGTTGTAGCCTGGATGAAGGTCTGGTCTTATGTTGTAGCATGGGTGAAGGTCTGGTCTTATGTTGTAGCCTGGATGAAGGTCTGGTCTTATGTTGTAGCCTGGATGAAGGTCTGGTCTTATGTTGTAGCCTGGATGAAGGTCTGGTCTTATGTTGTAGCATGGATGAAGGTCTGGTCTTATGTTGTAGCATGGATAAAGGTCTGGTCTTATGTTGTAGCATGGATGTAGGTCTGGTCTTATGTTGTAGCATGGATGTAGGTCTGGTCTTATGTTGTAGCCTGGATGAAGGTCTGGTCTTATGTTGTAGCCTGGATGAAGTGGTCTTATGTTGTAGCCTGGATGAAGGTCTGGTCTTATGTTGTAGCCTGGATGAAGGTCTGGTCCCATGTTGTAGCCTGGATGAAGGTCTGGTCCCATGTTGTAGCCTGGATGAAGGTCTGGTCTTATGTTGTAGCCTGGATAAAGGTCTGGTCTTATGTTGTAGCATGGATGAAATTCTAGCCTTATGTTGTAGCCAGGATGTGTGAAGGTCTGGTCTTATGTTATAGCATGGATGAAGTTCTAGCCTTAGGTTGTAGCCAGGATGTGTGAAGGTCTGGTCTTATGTTGTAGCCTGGATGAAGGTCTGGTCTTAGAGAAGTATGTCTTTTGTAGCCTGGATGAAGGTCTGGTCTTATGTTTTAGCCTGGATGAAGGTCTGGTCTTATGTTGTAGCCTGGATGAAGGTCTGGTCTTATGTTGTAGCCTGGATGAAAGGTCTTATGTTGTAGCCTGGATGAATGTCTTATGTTGTCAGCCTGGATGAAGGTCTGGTCTTATGTTGTAGCCTGGATGAAAAGTCTGGTCTTATGTTGTAGCCTGGATGAAGGTCAGGTCTTATGTTGTAGCCTGGAAGAAGGTCTGGTCTTATGTTGTAGCCTGGATGAAGGTCTGGTCTTATGTTGTAGCCTGGATAAAGGTCTGGTCTTATGTTGTAGCCTGGATGAAGGTCTGGTCCCATGTTGTAGCCTGGATGAAGGTCTGGTCTTATGTTGTAGCCTGGATAAAGGTCTGGTCTTATGTTGTAGCATGGATGAAGTTCTAGCCTTATGTTGTAGCCAGGATGTGTGAAGGTCTGGTCTTATGTTATAGCATGGATGAAGTTCTAGCCTTAGGTTGTAGCCAGGATGTGTGAAGGTCTGGTCTTATGTTGTAGCATGGATGAAGGTCTAGCCTTAGGTTGTAGCATGGATGAAGGTCTAGCCCTAGGTTGTACCAGTATTTTCCAAACTCACTAGTGTTTCATATTTGGTATACAGGTGATACTATGCACCTTTAGTTAGTGACACCCGCAAGGCCTCATGGCCATCATCAGGTGACATTAAGAAAAGGTAGAAAAACTTTGATAAAAAATTATAAAAAAAACTGGTTTCGTGACTTCAGAACACATGTCAGGTTAGTATAAATTGTGCGAAAACGAATTATATGACAAAGATGAGTTCTAAGGTTAGAACGAGTACCTTGAAGTGACATGCAGTGATCACCTACAAGCTGTTGAGGCTAAATATATAACATGAGATGATGTTGCTGCTGCAGTATGTAACATGTGAGAAAGATGTCATGTGAAACATGCTGTGCATCACTGATGTTACTTGTGGATTGTGGATATGAATCAAGTAAATGCAAATCTGGTTTTAATGTTTATATGATCTCTCAGAGTATGGTCATATAGGTTTTGAAAATGATCTTATGTATTTACGCTGTTGGTGTTCCTGTCCCCACGTTTCCTGTCCCCACGTTTAGGACTTATGTTGTAGTCAGGATGACAGTCTTGACATCTAGGTCTGATGTTGTAGTCAGGATGACAGTCTGAACATCTAGGTCTGATGTTGTAGTCAGGATGACAGTCTTGACATCTAGGTCTGATGTTGTAGTCAGGATGACAGTCTGAACATCTAGGTCTGATGTTGTAGTCAGGATGACAGTCTGAACATCTAGGTCTGATGTTGTAGTCAGGATGATGACAGTCTGAACATCTAGGTCTGATGTTGTAGTCAGGATGACAGTCTGAACATCTAGGTCTGATGTTGTAGTCAGGATGACAGTCTGAACAACTAGGTCTGATGTTGTAGTCAGGATGACAGTCTGAACATCTAGGTCTGATGTTGTAGTCAGGATGACAGTCTGAACATCTAGGTCTGATGTTGTAGTCAGGATGACAGTCTTGACATCTAGGTCTGATGTTGTAGTCAGGATGACAGTCTGAACATCTAGGTCTGATGTTGTAGTCAGGATGACAGTCTGAACATCTAGGTCTGATGTTGTAGTCAGGATGACAGTCTGAACAACTAGGTCTGATGTTGTAGTCAGGATGACAGTCTGAACATCTAGGTCTGATGTTGTAGTCAGGATGACAGTCTGAACATCTAGGTCTGATGTTGTAGTCAGGATGACAGTCTTGACATCTAGGTCTGATGTTGTAGTCAGGATGACAGTCTGAACAACTAGGTCTGATGTTGTAGTCAGGATGACAGTCTGAACATCTAGGTCTGATGTTGTAGTCAGGATGACAGTCTGAACAACTAGTCTGATGTTGAGTCAGGATGACAGTCTGAACATCTAGGTCTGATGTTGTAGTCAGGATGACAGTCTGAACATCTAGGTCTGATGTTGTAGTCAGGATGACAGTCTGAACATCTAGGTCTGATGTTGTAGTCAGGATGACAGTCTGAACATCTAGGTCTGATGTTGTAGTCAGGATGACAGTCTGAACATCTAGGTCTGATGTTGTAGTCAGGATGACAGTCTGAACATCTAGGTCTGATGTTGTAGTCAGGATGACAGTCTGAACAACTAGGTCTGATGTTGTAGTCAGGATGACAGTCTGAACATCTAGGTCTGATGTTGTAGTCAGGATGACAGTCTGAACAACTAGGTCTGATGTTGTAGTCAGGATGACAGTCTGAACATCTAGGTCTGATGTTGTAGTCAGGATGACAGTCTGAACATCTAGGTCTGATGTTGTAGTCAGGATGACAGTCTTGACATCTAGGTCTGATGTTGTAGTCAGGATGACAGTCTGAACATCTAGGTCTGATGTTGTAGTCAGGATGACAGTCTGAACATCTAGGTCTGATGTTGTAGTCAGGATGACAGTCTGAACAACTAGGTCTGATGTTGTAGTCAGGATGACAGTCTGAACATCTAGGTCTGATGTTGTAGTCAGGATGACAGTCTGAACATCTAGGTCTTATGTTGTAGTCAGGATGACAGTGGTAAATCTAGGTGTTATGTTGTAGTCAGGATGACAGTCTGGTAAATCTAGGTCTGATGTTGTAGATTTACATGTCAGCCTCTTAGATCAAGGTCTTATGTTGTAGACAGGATGACAGTCTAGTGAATTATTCACAAATTTTATTCAATAGGCCAGTTGTAAAATATAAAATGATTTATTTGAAGAGTTCCACAAATTTCAGTTTGGTTCTATTAGGAGTAATATTGATGAAAAACATTTTGGGCTTTCAGGCAGATAATTTGATGAAGACTGTCATTTATAATCCTACACTACATCCATAGCCCATTTGACTTGTGAGAAATCAAGCCCCATCTTCAACAAGATACTGCTTTCCTAATGATCCATTGGATAGATGACATAGGCTTCAGTTTGAGGTTAAACTGTTTGAATCTAAAAAGTTATTCTGTTTTATCTGTTACTTAAATTCATATATGCATTTCTTTATTCCAGCAATACAACACAATACCAGTAAAATGAGCTATCTAAACATTAAACAGAGATGTTAATCTGTATTATGTCATAATATACTAATCATGGTGGCATCATAATTAAACATCACCACATATACCAATTTATGTTTCTCAACAAATAAGCACTTGATTAATTTACCATTTTTTACACACCAAATGATGTTTTGCATGATCTGACATTTTTGATTTATAAACATACATAAGTAGACAAGAAGTACTTATTATTGAGAGATATTATACTCTAGCATCAGATAGTAAATCACAAATGTTTAGGTCACATATTACAAAAGTGCATTTTGATGTTGTTTGGCAAGATGATATGACTTTCAAATTTCAAGATAGTCTTGATATCAACAAGGTCAACAAATTGATATATTTATCTACAATAAATTATTTAAAATTGATTTTGGATCATAAATATACTCTCACCCTCACATCTTTCGATATAAATATACAAACACTCATACAAAAAAAGTAGAAAAACCTCTTTAGCAAGTTTTCCTGCTTCAATCGACCAATATTGATATACTTGATAATAAAAGACGCTGGTGAGATTGTCAAGGTTGTGAGGTGATTTAGGGCAGTTATTTCAATAATGGTGAGATAGACATTTCCCTGTCAATGACTTACTCACCTGAACTAGAAATAAAGAGACCGTAGAAACTGCTTCATCTGCTTCATATTCCGATCTTAGTGCACACGTTTCAAAGTGACAGAATATAACTGCAAGACTGAGACAATAGGGTTGACTTTAACTTTCAAATAATCACCTCTTTATTTATGAAGAGGAGAATTCTGGCAGCTTCGGACTTTTGTGCCAACATTTTACACTGTATGACGATTTGAAGAGCATTTTATGACTCTTGTAATAAAACGGACAAAATCTTTTCAATAGGCGCAAGAAATGTATATACCTGTGGACATTTCCAAATTTGATGCATCAGTGATCTACAAAACCGATGACCAATATAATTCCCTATTTGACTACCATACGTTCCCATGTTTAAGTGAATACTTGTCTTGTCTTTGCATGTGTTTGTAATGTATGCCACAAGTGGATATACTTTATTGATATTCAACTGTACAATAATCTCTGTTTGCAGAGATTGCTTACGATTATGGAAAGTGTCTTGTTGCTTATATTTCTACTTTGAGTATCATTTCCTATAGACTCTTGCCATTCCAACTTCTGTTTATGTTTTGGGCATTTTAGCTTCCTCAATAAAATAGTCGTGAAAATGAGAAAGAAAGAAGATATATGTAGCTGTTTGTTGATGCAGGTAAGCTACAGGCCTCGGGGAACAAGCTTTAACTTCTTATTATATCATCAATATGTATCTTCTCTGTATTGAAGAAGTCCAAGAAATTAATAATTGTTTTTCATGGCTTTAACAACTACTTGACATCCCCACCTGTAATTCAATATTGTATGTGACTCTTGAAGATCTGGGTTAGAATTGGTCGTCAGTAACCCATGCTTGTTGTAAGAGGCGACTAATGGGATCAGGTCATCAGGCTCGCTGACTTAGTTGACACATGTCATCGTATAACAGTTGCGTAGATCGATGTTTATGATGATCACTGGATTGTCTGGTTCAGATTCGATTATTTAGGCATATAGCTGGAATATTGCTGAGTGCGGCGTAAAACAACAAATAACGACAACAATATTGTATGAGCCTTCCAAATAATATTTTGCAATTTATGGTTGGAAAAACATACAGTAAGAAGTAGCTATGTAGAGTTCTCCCAATATGTTTCTATATCAAACTTCAAACAGATGAGTTTTTAATCATCCTTTGAAATAAAACATAGCGTGTATTGATCAGTTACGACATTTTTATGTAAGACATCAGTGTATTTTGTCTCCATGTCAAAATGTCTTGGGAACATTTGACCCTCTGTGAAATGTTACAGATTGAGATGAATTTTTAAAGCCTGTCCTTTGACACATTTATTGCGATCATGATTGACCAGTTTTAAAAAGGAATAGATATCACTTTATGCCACATCAGCAATTTTCGAGCTATTCATGACAAGAACCATTTACTGATATGATGTCACATGCTGTACAAGGCACAACTTTTGAACCCTCCAGTTGAAAGAAAAAGTCATAAAATATTGATTGTTTCTGCATTTCTCCTGCAATATATCTATTAGACTGCTCATAATGGCCTCAGTGATACTCTTAAAAACATTTTTCTAGTATTGTTTGTGCCTGAACATCCAGTCATTGATGTCCTGGGGGAGGCACAACATTGCATTGCTTTGCAGGTTCATTTCCAGTGTCAGAGGCCTATTTCGACATTCATAACCATTTTATATACAATATTTTACAATTATCAACTATATTTTATTTATCATATACTCATTCAGAATTTTCAACATAAAGTGTCAACATGCTTTTGAAGTCAACATTTTTTGAACATAACTATAAATCACTTTTGAAATTTTGACTTTGTAAGAAAAGGAACATGGAGGTAATTGACCAATCCATCAACAGATCTTGACTCAGAAGCATCTGAAGTCTTCCTTTGTCTTAATTATGTCTGAAGTTTTCAGAAGGAGGTGCAGCCCAAAATGCCATGTAGAGTTCATCCATCTTTGACAGAAGAACCTCTCACATTCTTTGATAGGCCCAAAGTTCTAGATAAAGCTGACTCCATGATAGAAGATCACAGAGGGTCTACTTGCCTGGGCTTCTTCATACTGACAGGGTTAATGATTCTGATCCTGCCTTGACCTCTGGACAATTGTTTGAAAATAAAACAATCAGTAATTTGCCATGTACCTTGATAAACCAGTACATGATCAATTAGAGACATGTCTGTTTGTAGCCAGAGTTGGAACCGGAGTAGCTACTGTTATCTGGCAATGACCTTGACTCCATGACCTTGAGCATCCTGAAACATATACTGGTATATATAGTTGTATGATATGTAGTGTAAAAACCTTGTGAATATCTATCATATACAGCTCCTGGATGGAAAGGGATTTCTTATAAATGAAAAGAAAGTTAAAGTTAAAAAGATGAAGACATTGTATGTAATTTTTGGTGGATTAGTTTCATTGAATTGTTCAGTAATACATAACTTGTAAATACTTACATTGAAATACCTTGGAAGTGGAATGATATGTTGATATATAAAAGAAATGTTTTTAGCAAAACATACATATTATATGATACTATCAATTCATATTTATAGAATGACCTAATCATGTATTAAGTCTTGATGATATCGGTGGTCTAAGGAATTATCATACAATATGTGAAGCCCATTTCTGATGACCCGATCCCGTTAGTCGTCTCTTACGACAAGCATGGTGTACTGACGACCAATTCTAACCTAGATCTGCAAGAGTCACATACAATATTGAATTACAGGTGGGGATGTCAAGTAGTTGTTTAAGCCATGAAAAACAATTATTAATTTCTTGGACTTCTTCAGTACAGAGAAGATACATATTGATGATATAATAAGAAGTTAAAGCTTGTTCCCCAAGGCCTACGGCTACATATATCTTCTTTGTTTCTCAGTTTCTCAGTTTCATCACTATTTGACACACACACATTATTATGATATTATGAGAGTCATACAATGGACTAACGTTTTAGCAGATGTTTCTTATTGCTGTTGAAGAGGCGGTGGGGTTACTAAGCCTAGTGGTCAGGAGCGTAGCAAGCCAATTTCGTGTAAGCCTGATAGGTTGCAAAACTTTGTGTTAAGATATTATTGAGGGCTTGCCCAACCTTTTTGGCAACAATCATGTGTAAGCCTGGGCTTTTTTTTTATAATGGAAGCTACGCCCCTGGTGGTTAAAATAATCGCTTATCACACCGAAGACATTGTTCCCCACATGGGTACAATATGTGAAGCCCATTTCTGATGACACAAGGTGCTGGTGGAAAGGTGAGTACATATAGTATACATAAGCAATGTCAGATATACCACCGTTGCTCAGTTGATTTTACCCATGTTGTAATATAGTAAGTTTTTTCTGACTGAAAGATTCAGAATGTAGTAAGAGAAGGCGATAACGGGATCGGATGGTCAGACTTGCTCACTTGGTTGTCATCATATCCCAATTGTGTAGCTCGATGCTCATGATGTTGATGACTTTATTATCTGGTCCAGACATGATTAATAATAATAATAATAATTGATTTATAGAGCGCCTATGATATTGCTCAATGGCACTATAAAGAGAAATGATCGTAGACAATGTCTATGGAAAAGAGAGTTTGAAAAGATGAGTTTTGAGGGCAGTTTTGAAAGCATCAGCAGATTCTATTTCTTTTAGGGCGATTGGTAGAATGTAGAATGTTTTGATTATTTACCAACTGCCGCCATATTGCTGGAATGTTGCGAGTACAGAGTTATAGAACAAGCAAACAAGACAAGAGAAGGTCACTGTACAGAAATCCCTGATTATTGTTTCCCCAGAGGTGAACAATGTTAAATGCCACACAATTGCTGATTGTTTATTTGTGTACATACAATACGTCATGTTCTCATGTCCAGATTTAACACTAATTATAAATGATTGATCGGAAATCTCTGATTGTCATTCCTACAAGTAAACATGGCCGTCCCTGCAGGTAAATCCATGTTGTGACTCTGTAACTATGTATCAGTTCTCACCTGGAAGTGTTGCAATTGATTATTTATCTCTTTGATCTATGATTGAAACAGCTTCGGGACAATATTGCCCTACAGAGAGCTGTTACTGGACAGCGTGAATGTCAGCCAATCAGTTTCAGCTCTTTAGACAGCATACGATGGGGACCTGACATGGAAGGTTTAATGACTGATCAGTAATAATTCATCACAACTTAAACCATGGACAGTCTTAAAGGGGGTATCAGCTGTACAAAAACAGTGAGGTACTTGACAAATCAGGGAGTGTTTAAAATATATATATAAACATGGCAAATCCTTCATAAAAGTAAAGGGGGCGGTGGGGTAGCCTAGTGGTTAAAGCACCACTCGTCATGCTGAAGAGCCTGGTTCGATTCCCCACAAGGGTACAAGGGTACAATGTGAAGCCCATTTCTGGTGTCCCCTGCTGTGATATTGCTGAAATATTGCTAAAAGCTAAAACTTCTCTCATTCCATAATTATAAGAAACTCTGCCAGAGGTGTATTTTATGTTGCATTTATTATCTGTTGTTTTAGTTTCGTTAGTAATAAAATACCCAAGGTTTAATGGTAACCTCATTGGTCTAGTGGATACAGCATCTGCCTGGCGAGTAGAAAGTCAGAGTTCAGTGCTCAGCCGCCTCATACCAAATGATATTTAAAGCTGGTACTTGTTGTTACCCTGCCTTGTGCTTGGTATTTCTGGGTAATACAAGGACTTACATGGAGACAACAGCAGTATATGGTGTCTTAGTTGGGTTGTCCCTGTTCAACTGCCACATGGTATCTGTGGGCTAGCACTAGAAAACCAGCAGTTGTCTTGACTAGTAAAGTCAGACAAACACGCACGTATGCACGCAGGCACACAGGCATGTTGCTATAATAGTGCAGTAATCAGCAACCAAATCCTATATCACCTTGCCACACCACTAAGGTTTATTGTGACCATTGAGATGATGATGATGATGATGATGATGATGATGATGATGATGATGATGATGATGGTAAGGATGATCATTGTCTTAATGTGCTGCTGCTGTTGTTCCTGCTGATGGTGGGATGATGATGATGATGATGATGATGGTAAGGATGATCATTGTCTTAATGTGCTGCTGCTGTTGTTCCTGCTGATGGTGGGGATGATGATGATGATGATGATGATGATGATGATGGTAAGGATGATCATTGTCTTAATGTGCTGCTGCTGTTGTTCCTGCTGATGGTGGGGATGATGATGATGATGATGATGGTAAGGATGATCATTGTCTTAATGTGCTGCTGCTGTTGTTCCTGCTGATGGTGGGGATGATGATGATGATGATGATGATGATGATGATGATGATGATGGTAAGGATGATCATTGTCTTAATGTGCTGCTGCTGCTGTTCCTGCTGATGGTGGGGATGATGATGATTGATGATCTATTGTTGCAATTATGAATTGTAACATTGAGCACGATAGATTCAAAAGTTGAAATTAAAAATTTTCCATGAGTGTTGATTTATATTGACAATTGGGAAATTATTTGATGATATTTGAAGCACATGTTTATGTGATTGTGAGTAATTTGATTATTCACCATTACCAGTTCATTCGGTGAAAATTCGGTGAAAATTTATCATTAAAAAAACACAAAAAAGCTACTTTTTTATCAACATATGAGCTGCTAAATTTTTTAAAAGTATCTTTCATGGATTGAAAAAAAAAATACCCAGGAATCAATTCATGTTGAATTAATGTTTAATTTTAGACCTCGTCTTAGATCAAACACATGAATTAAGGTACCAAAATATCATAAGAACTTGTACTATCCTTGAACCTGTTTAACAGATGTAACAGTTTAATCAATTTAGTATCCCATACATGATTTTCAATTTAATTACATTAATGGACATATCCTATTAACATAAATAAAAGTTCCTTTTCCAATCAATAAAAGTCATGTGAAAGACAGGAAAAGTGAGATTTTACTGTTAATGACCCCAACTCAGGTAAACAACGCATGTGTTGGTCGATCACCTGTATAGCTTAGTAATTATTGAAAGGCAATATGAATCAGGGTCGGATGTACTGATTATGCACTGAGTAATTGCAAGGTGATTAAGGTGTCAAACAGGATTAATTAATCTCCAATTCCAGCATTTATTGATCTTGGTATTTCCTAGATATCAGTATACACAAGATTTGCATGATCGTCTTACAGGAAGTAGAGCCTTAGGAAGGCATTTAGTGGTTGGAAGAAAATGAGGGCATGAAACATTTATGACTGACTGACTGACTGACTGAGTTTAGTTTAGTTTATGCCGCTTTTAGCAATATTCCAGCAACATCACGGCGGGGGACACCAGAAATGGGCTTCACACATTGTGCCCACGTGGGGATTCGAACCCGGGTCTTCGGCGTGACGAGCCAACGCTTTAACAATTAGGCTACCCCACCGCCCCTGAAACATTTATGGATGGCAACTTCTTTATTTGTTTGGAACGATGTCTCAGGGTGACTGTTGCTCACAGAACAGTGTTTGTGTCTCTAGGAACTGGTGGAAGCCAGAAAATGGTCAGTTTTATTCATGCAAGAATGCAAGCTGGGTCTTTTTTGGGATGCTGTTATGAGCATCACTTGGGCTGTAAACATTCCCTAGGGTTTTCTACTGTAGCTCGCATTTCCAATCATTGATTAGTTTGACAAGCTTTAGATGCCAGTAATTTCATATTTTGGAGGCAAGGATATTTAAAAAATATGTTTCATAGCTAAAATCCGTTTCATAAAGTTATCGAGTGAGTGAATGTGGTTTTACACTGCTTTTAGCAATATCCCTACAATATCACACCAGAAATGGGCTTAAAACAGAGTAGAGAATCGAACCGGCTCTTCGGCATGACAAGCGAACGCTTTTACCACTAGGCTACCCCACCACCCTCCAAGTTTTGAAAATGATGAACCATTCTGATCCTCTTTTGAAACAATATGATTGAATGCTTTGAAGGGATAGCAAAGATCACAAGTAGTATAGCTTCTCGATATAGACATATCAGACAGGGTTTCAGTAGAAACTTGATAAATATTCAGACGTAAAATGGATCTATTTGTTATGGCTTGGTACTTCAATGTTGACATATCTCAAGGGAGGATCCTCTAATGCCCAGATTTGTTACAAAAACATTACCAAGGTACCAAAGTGCAACTTAATCTCACTTTTTTCATTTGTAAGCAAGCTGTTCCTCTACTTCAGCATAGTGATTTGTTCTTTCCAAATTGACAAATGTCACATGTTGCAATGGTTCCCATAATCCTTACACAGACATGTTGTTGTGAATATGTGTATCATGCTGAGGTGGAATCTGGTGGCAAACTATATTTTTATGTCTATTTTTAGCAGTCAGCCATGTTGGGATGCCCCTTTGCAGGATAGTACTTTGCATTTCACAAAGGGAAAATGTCATGGTTTGGAATTTGTCTTTACATTTCTTGATTTAAAATATTATACAATCATGAATTTGTCCATCGCCTTTTGTGTGTACATTAGAGCAACAAAGGATGTAATAGCATTGTGAAGCAAATTAGAACATTTCCACCTGTAAAAGACAAGGGAAAAGAGAAAAAAGAAGAAAAGATATTGATAATTGTACCATGAACTTGTTTTTGTTTAATAACTCAAACTTTCAGCACCACTTTCTCAAAATGGTGTGTTTGTAAAGAAGATGTAATTTCATCACCAATAGTCTAACAAAGAAACAGGTGGGCCTCTCTCTTGGTATAAGTAAGCATCTTTTATTGGTAGTTCTCAAGGAAACCCTCTGTTACCTCCCACTCATCTGTACCTGAAGCTCTGCTTACGAACCCATCTAATTATAAAGTAGCCAAACTGTAGGGATGCCAATCAGGAGGTACAATTACTGCTAGTTTCAGACTCTGCATCACAAATACTTGTTCCGTTTTGCACATTTTAAAACATTTCTTTAATGATTTCAAGATTTAAATTAGTTTGGGAAGGTTGATTTAAATTATCTATTTTTTGTTTAAGTATTTTGCTGCTGTCAGTTGATTGATCTGTTAAACAAAAACTACAGATTTTTCCTGTAATGATCAACTGATATTTGCTGCAGTTTTCTTATCCACCAGCTTTGATCTTGAGATGTGAGATGAGATTTTACTTGTTTAATCAGTTTATAAGGACACAAAAGCGTCAGTATGTTTAAAAATGTCTTTGAAAACTTATTCATGGAATATTTTACCTTTTCTTTGTAAAGGTAGAGATGTATATCTATTAAGCTAATTGAAACCAATTACACTTGCAGGAAATCATAGAAATTGTCTCCAGCTGATAGATGTGAACAACTTTGCTTAATTTGTGTTGTTCCTTGTTTGAAGTGTCGACATGCTTACTGACAGGCTGAGTAACAAATACAAGTATGGTATATTTTGACAGGATAAGAGATGGGTTTTTCTTTCAGGGATTTATCAGAACTCTTTGATCTTTTAGTTGGTATTTTTTCTACCTAGGTGTACAAGGTTATTCCCATCTCAATTGTCTGTCATCATGTATTGCCTAGGGACTGGTCATTTATTAAAATATACATGGATTGGGGTGGGTCATTGAGATTAGGAACGAGGGGGGTGGATGATGATGTAATGGTATAGGGATTGTGAAGCGGTATGAAAAACCGACATACCAGAAAAAATGTTTGGGGGCACCAAATTTATCAAGACCA